GGCCCTGACAATTGACCCCCCCCCCCCAGCACACAGACACACACGTGAGCAAACACTTCATTACCAGCATGTGCTACACCAATCAATAGTTCACACGCATCTGCTAGAAAATGTCCTGAGTCATCGATGGCCAATCTGATGCTATTTTCACAGAAGATCTTTCTGGAAGGGAAGAAAGTCTCTCTCCAGTCACGCCTGTTCGTTTCACGTGGATTGCAATCGTGGCTCTCAATGTGCATCAAACCAAATCATAAAGAACAACTCCGGGAACATCAAAAACGCAGAGGGGCTACCCCAGCACTGCAAGGGTTAGGTGCTCATTTTGTCTAGGGAGCTCAAGTAAAGCAGATAAACTTACCTGATCCTCAGTTCCTTCGGGCTGCTAGACCGGTCCCGGCAGCCTCTGCTCCCCCGGGCTCTGGAAGGCTAAGGACGGCTGACGTCATCACGTCTTATGCAGGTCCATTGACCTCTATTAGACGTGAGGACGCTGAGGGACATTCCATAGCCATCAAGAGCACTGCCAGGGTTAAGGGTCAGTTCACACCATTCTGAACGCACTGGATGGTGTGAACGGGCCCTAAGTGCTCGTTTTTGCTTATGGTAAAAAATAAAAAAAAGTTATATTCGCCGATCCCGAGCCAGCTGACTCTTAGACCGGTCCCTTCTGCCTCACCCCCCCTCCGCTTCATCGGTCTAAGGTCCCTATACACAGTAAATAGGATGTGAGGATGCCGTGGAACATACCATTGCTGCACCAGAGGAAGAGACAGGCATGAGGGAGTGCAGTCACAGCCAGCTAGCTTGGAGGATCGGGAGATTATAACTTTTTTTATTTTTGACCCTAGGCAAAAACAAGCAGTTAACCCTTACAGTGCATGGATAGCTCTGCGGCAAGGGTTAATAAAATTATTAACCCTTGCAGTGCAGTGGTAGCTGCTCCAAGATCACTCCCGTCATGTATTACAATCTCAATACAAATGAATAAACTAAACATGAGATTGTAGTCCATCCCGGGAGCGAGCTTGGAGCGGTGACTACTTTACAACACACACAGTGACCATGGGGAACAAAAGTAGCCCCCCTCCAGAAGGAAGGACAGTGTCATCACCAACTCAGAGATGATTGGAGGATCTACAGCCGAGTGATACCCACATAGGATACATTTTTGTTCATAGTTAAGGATTTGAATGTATTTTTAAGATTTCACTCCTGATTTTCGTGTCACTTGAACACTCAGCAGAAAGGAATGAGCTATGACGACTCCATTCAAAGCCGAGTTCTTCACTTTGGCTCACATACAGAGCGGGCACATATAATGGAAAGCATTTCTTTACACGTGTTCAGGTTTTATTGTAAACTTCACGTTAGATCCTGCCGATCTTCTCATTATGAAGCACTCGTGTTTGTGATAGTCGGCTGCGATATGAGGCTCACGCAGCAGCAGCCATTGGATGTCATGGCGCGCTGATTCACCCACTTTACATCTCTACAAAACACATTACTTGTCTCCCAGACTAAACATTTCTCCTGGCAGAGAACGCCGCATTAACACTTTCCAGACTCCGGCACATCGTCTCCACAATGATAAATCTACCAAAGTTCATTGCAGCTTCCTAAATCTCCTTTTGTATCTGGCTGGTATTATGCTGGTCCTAAAGCATATCTCCCAATTGTCCCTTTGTCCCCCTTTCCTGTTCAATTGCCTCTCTGTTTGGTGTGATGTGTAGACCTCTATTACAAATGCAATACTCAACTACCACAAGTGTTACACTACACTAAACAATTCACACAAACCTTTCTATTGTTACATCCTGAACAGCTATTGTAAAAGGAAAAGAAAACACACTAGGCCAGCCTTGCTCAACCAGTGTGCCGTGGCAGAGCTGTGCAAATCTCGGGAACAGATGGACAGTAACACACATCCTTTAAACCGCTCCGTTATATGCATTTTATCTTTGTCAGGAGTTCAGCTTTAACCGACACATACTGCTGCGGCTAAATGTGGTCTGAGCATTGACTCCAACATAGCACCCCAACCATACACAACAGTGTATACATTACGCCATATGCCAACAGACGTACAGGACCATGCAAGATCCATTAAAACTAACCCTCCCCCAGGTGCTATTGACTTTAATGCACCTCCACACCCCCTCACGCCCCAGAACTCAGTGAGCCAGTAGTTCTGGCACCGAATCTGGCCGGAACGCACCGGGGCTGATGTGAACTAGCTCTAAATGTCTCCCAGTGCCTGAAAACATGTCAGACTGACAGCACTGGCACAGCACTCAGTGTCCATTATTTAAACTGTAAAGAAAGTTTGACATTACTTACCAATGTCATTAGCCAATGATGTTGGATCGGACGCCCCAAACGAGGTCTGAAACTCCTCTTGAAGGCGGTACGCACGTTGCAGTAAGGCTTCCAGTTTATGGATGAACTCAGCACTTATAACATCCTGGGAAAATACTTCTTGTTAAGGAGGATGTGCTAATATCATCAAATATTCATCACCTAGATTGCCTGCCCGCCTGTACAAACCATTATCCTAATCTGAATATATATCATTAACAGATGAAGAACGGAGACAAGCCAAGCATTATTCCGCCGTGCTTAATCAGTAAAACAGCAAAGAGCAAATGTTAAGCTGCTAAGGACAAAAACCCTTTTTTCAAGAAATTAGATCTGCGATAACTTAAAGTGGCTCTGTTACCTAAAACTGAAAATAAAAGGTTACCCTAGAAAAAGAAGACCGCTGTAATGAAGAGAAATCAATGCCTGAAGACTCTCACACCTCTGGAAGTGTCAAATTCCTGCTCCCCTGCTGCACACAACGGTTTGATCTGCTAGCTTCTTCACCACTATTAGGTCCTGTAGTAACGTAGGGATCAGCGGGAAAAACGAAAAAACGCAGGTGGGGGGCACCAGAAGATCGATACTCTTGGAAGTGTCAAATTCTAAAGTCTTCAGCTGGTGGTTTATCTTTAGGACAGCATTGACTGGTGGCCCAAACAGGTGGGTATTTGCAATCTTCCTTCCAAGAGACCCCTTTTATTGGCAACTTTATTTTAGTGACAGAGTCACCAAGGGGCTGATTTATAAATGTCAGGATAACATAGACACCGGCACTCCAAGTAATGAATCAATGGCGTCTGTTTATTGGCGCATGAAACATCATCAGGCAAATTGAGTGATGCCTGATGAAGGGGATCTTGTGAGACCCCGAAACTTTGCTTTTTGATGCATTGTGCTATGTTTCATGAGTCAATAAACAGACACCATTCATTCATTACTTGGAGTGCCGGTGTTTATGTTATCCTGTGATTATAGACGGTTGACGTCCGTCGACTGTCGCAGCACCCATCTTTTATAAGGAACAGCAGTTTTGAGTGCGATGGGTTCATGGACTGTATCCTGATTTATAAATCTTCCCCCCAGAGTATTGCTGGGCAAATGTCATTAGCACGGCAATACCATAGGTTGCAGGGGGAGGATAGGGGTTTTCTGTGCTTCCCAGCTCCATCTAGTGGTGGTAATGCCATGCTAATGGCATTTGCCCAGCATTTACCCTTCTGTAAAAGCCCAAACTGTCTTTACAGTGATGGATAGCCCCACTAACTTAGATGCTGGGGAGTCTTGAGGGGCAGAGCCAAGTTTGACTTTTACAGGAAAAGTAGAGCTGTATAAAAATTTAGTCCCCGATATCTCTAGAACTACAAATTGTTCTGATGTGTGGTTTTCACTGAACATAACCTCTGCTTATGCATTTTTTTGTACATTGTATGCTCTTAACTGCCCAGATTTCTGAAATGTTCCTTTTAAAGAGGACCTGTATGCAACTTCACAAGTTGGTTGTGAGTACACTTCCAACAAATGATACAATACAGCAACTGTATACCTTAAAAAAAACATATTTGTATCATTAAAGTGACACTGAACTCAGGAGTTAAATCCTAAAAATGCATTCAAGTACCATAACTATGAACAACAATGTATATTATTTGTGTATCACTCGGCCGTAGACACTGTCCTTCCTTCTGGAGGGGGGCTACTTTTGTTCCCCATGGTGCCTGTGTGTGTTGTACAGTAGTCACCGCTCCAAGCTCACTCTGGTGATGGACTACAATCTCAATACAAATTAGAAAACTAAACCTGAGATTGTAGTCCATCACGGGGGCGAGCTTGGAGCGGTGACTACTTTACAACACACACAGGGACCATGGGGAACAAAAGTAGCCCCCCTTCCAGAAGGAAGGACAGTGTCAGCACCAATTCAGAGATTAATTGAGGATCTACAGCCGAGTGATGTAATGTGATACACAAATAAGATACATTTTTGTTAATAGTTAAAGGTGCTTGAATGTATTTTTAAGATTCAACTCCGGAGTTTAGTGCCACTTTAAAAAGCAGCAGTCAAGTGACTAGGATTTCTTGGTATTATAATGTCACAAGACTGTGGAAGGCAGAAGACGTTTTTTTTGTATTGCAACATACATTTCGGCAAATTAGATGGTCAGAGGCAGCAGCAAAGGGTCAAACTATGCGCAATACTTAATGGGGCATATTTATAAAGCAGTGTATGTGACTTTCACCAAATACTCACTGGTGGTGAATCAATCAACGCCATTTAAAACACATGCACCTGCTAGTTTTTTTATTGCTGTCTGTTTTTTTCCATAAGGGAGCTTCACCCTCTGAACTGACATAAAGCGTTGACAAGACTTCTTCTTAAAGCACTGAAAAGGTTTACTGCACACAGAATAAAATCGTAAGCAGACGACGTCTTACCTCTACATTTTCCTCAGCAATAGCGTCCCCTGCCCCCAGCCGGATAGAACCGCAGCTGGCCTCATCTTCAGCCTGTCTATTCCGAAAAGTCAGTGCTTGCTCCCACCGTTGCAAGGCTTCTTCAAACAGCTCCATTCCTTCACCACAATGAAAGACAGAGACATTACAGAAGGTTATAATCCTATACATCTCTATGGGTTACAATGTATACAGCATGAAAGGAATTTAATCAGCAAAATATAAACATTTCGGCTTTAGACCTTCCCAAACTGGAGCTGAATGTAAAGGTTTCCTTGGAAAGCTCCTTGAAAGTTTTGCAAATTCTTTGTAGAAGCCTGCTGTACCATATGTGCCAAGCCCAAGGGTTCAAGCATTTAGAAGTTTCAAGGGTTCAAGCAGTTAGAACTGTCTCCAAATTTCTCCAAAACTTTACAGAGATCTCTATACCTGTCAATGTCTGAACTTGGTTCCTAACTACTCATAAATGATACAGTGTAATGGGGAAGAAAAATGGAAAGCTATAAACAACACTGTACTGTATACTGTACACTGTGGTGTATAGAATGACACCTCAGCCTGACAAGTATATGAAGGGAAAACATTTTTAAAGTGACATTAAACCCTCAGATTTTTTAACATAAGCCAATACTGTAATGTGCGCCTTACTGTAATCCATGATAGTTTCCCTTCTCTTTGCTGCTCTTCCTTTTAAATCCTCGTGTCTTCTCATGCTGGGGGAGAACTTCCCTTTGCAGCTGAGTGCCTCTTCCTGTAGTGCTGGCTCACGTTGCAAACCTACACACAGACACCATGTATCCATTTCAGAGACAAGGCAGTCTGCTGCAAAACAGAAGTTCTGCCCAGCATGAGAACAGATACAGAATTAAAAGGAAGAGCAACAAAGAGAAGGGAAACAACCATGGACTACAGTAAGGCGCACATTACAGTATTGTTTTATGTTAAAAAATCTGAGGGTTTAATGTCACTTTAAGGAACTCTGGGCATATGAAAGCCTAATCCTTCCAGTGGGTTACCCTGCACTGTACGGGTTAAGTGCTTGTTTTGTTCTAGGGTCTAAAATAAAAAAAGATATATTCACCCAATCCTTGGTCCTGTGGCCATAACCGATCACCTCACTGCTCCGGGCGATGAAATGTCTCTTGGCATCCTCAGTGTATTGGACGTGGTGAATCATGGGTCCTTAGACCTCCAAAGCCCAGGGGAGAAGAGGCTACCTTGACCTGTCTAGTACCCAGGCGGGACCGAGAATCAAGTAAGAATATCTTTTTTGCATTTTAGACCATAGACCAAAGCGAACACTGAAAGGGTTAATTTTTTTATATGCTGGAAGATCTTCAACATTCAGCTTATTTCAGAGGCAATATCAGTGAGGTCCAGGACATAAAATCCAGTAAGAATAAGCTTTGATTAATATGAAAATGGTGTATACGTCCTGACACAACCCCCTTAAGTGAGCATAAAAAAAAACTAAAAAACATTTAGCCATAATGTGTTAGTATGCAGAGCATATTAGCACATTACGGCAGACTTAGCTGCCAAAACGATGCCTTGCAGCATTGCACTCCACCCTCGCCAGAGCTTCTGCATTTGCTCCAGTCTTCAAGTCTTGCCTGGGCCCCGATAATGTATCACATCACACACATGCATACAGGAATCACTTCATCTCGCCATGCCAGGTCTGTGCGCTGAGATGCGCATGTGCAACCCAGTGTACAGGAAAAATAGAATTGCTGACAGTCAGCAAGAGGCCTTAATGGCAGAAGGGACTTACACAGTCTCTTCTGTCATTAGAAGCCTGCCGATCGGAACATTTTGTAATTTTTTTCCTTTATTTCAACTTTAACCAGTTGACATCCGCGGTGTTAAACCCCCTTCCCATCCAGGCCATTTTTCAGTATTCAGCGCTGCGGTACTTTAACTGACATTTATTCCGTCATGCAGCGCTGTACTGAAATGAATTTTATACCCTTTTTTGGGGACAGATAGAGCTTTCTTTTGGTGGTATTTATTCACCACTGGGGGTTTTATTTTTTTACTATATTAAGGAAAAATTACCGAAATTTAAAAAAAAAAACAGTTTCCCCTATATTAAATGATAAAACATTTATTATTACCCAATTTTTTGGTAAAATATAAAAGACGGGGTCACGTCGGGTAAAAAGACACTAAACATGTCAAGCCTTAAAATTGCGTGCGCGCGCGAAACCTCAAAAAACGATAATACCCAAAATTGGCCATAGGCGACGCTTTAAAAGCTGTTACCGCTCATCAGTTTAGTGTTATCAGTGATTGATGGCCCTAAAATGATTGCTCTCACTGCGACGTTCGCGGCGATATGTAACATGTGTAGCGCAATTGTAATTTTTGCGCGCTGGGGCACCGGACGCGTATTTACGTTTATAGGCGCGTAAACGTGGGGGTGGGGGAGTTAAACATTTTGGGGGGGTTTTTTCCCCTTTTTTTATATGTGGCTTTTATTTTATTTTATTTTTTTATGTGTTACTTTTCTTTTTTTTTATTTATATTTTTTTTTTTGCACTTTTTGTTATTGCTATTATATAGGGGGGATAACAATCCCCCTATATAATAGCAAAGGCACACTGACAGGTCCACTTTATGGAGACATTAGGGTTCTCTAGGACCCCTAATATCACCTGTGGACCCCAAAAGAAGCTGATGAAGCAGAGATGGTGCGGCCGCAAACGAGCACATATAGGCGATCGGCGGGCTATGGACACGCTGATCGCCTATATGTGAAACACCCGGTAACGGGTGTGTGCATTGATCGGGTCTTTGCGGATGCAGATGCAGCAGTGCCGTCCGTCCGTTTTTTTACTACGGGCGGACGGCAAGAGGTTAAAGTTTAAAAAAAAACCTTCTAAAACAATGTAATACTTGAGATGAAAGTTACAGCTATTTTTGGCCCAGTTAGCATCACACAAAGACCCCTAGAGCCTTACGCTGTCCCTGGAGTTTATGTACAATAAGTAGCTCTGTGGGTGGAAGCTATGAAGCAAGCTGCAGTTTGGACCACGGTCTGCGACAATGTCTGTACAGTGCTGGAGATGTAAACAGTGAAACCTGCTGAGTAATTCTACCGCATACCCATTATTATTATCATTATTATGCAGGATTTATATAGCGCCAACAGTTTGCACAGCACTTGCAATATAAGGAAGACATTACAGTTACAATACAAGATGGTAAGGAGGTCCCTGCCCGTGAGAGCTTACAGTCTAAAATGGAGGGGCAAGTGATACAAGAGGAGGTACCCATCAGATAGAGGTTCTCTGGAGTGGTGACTGGGATGTTTACAAGTTTCATCTCCTCTTCTTCAGTCTTATCCCAGGAGCTGGAATTTAGTAAGCTATGTAAAAAATACAGCTATAAATGTAATCAAATATTGCATATCAGAGCTAATTTAGGACTATACTTTATCGAAAATAATCCTGTAGGAAAAAAATCGCTATCTGAAAATGATATTTATATTCCTTTTAATAAATATAAAAGATTATCTTGCTAAAAAAAAAGTTCTGCTGTAAAAGGCCAGGAGAGATCAGATTACACACGCAGCTGTGCTCAGTCCCTCCCTGGTGTTTCTTTGCAAGGTTGACGAATACTGTGGGGAAGGGCTCACTAAATATATTAGTTATTAGGGGCTTGTCCTGAGCGGTCAACCAATAGTAGGCTGACGTGATGACCTAACAGAAAAGTTAAATTATGGTAAGTATGGTCAACAATTTTCTGTATTTATGTAGCTGCTGAGAGAGGAGCAAATGGGAATACTATGGAGTCTACTGACACCACATCCAAGATGATGGCACTGAGCAGCAGTCTTAGGGTATAGATGTCTAGTCCATTAAATTGCCTTAGCGCAAAAATGTGACGCATTTCCAACACGTCCATTAACGCTGGGCATAGTGTGAATGGGCCCCTACTATTTCCAAAAATATTTGAATTTTCAAAAGCAGAAATCAGAAATATGGCGTCACTGAGAATACACTATGGCTTTCCTTCCAGATACCAGCACACTTACTGAAGCCAAACTCTGAGGAGATCCCGAATATTTACTGTAGAATCCACCATTCATGTGCAACAGGGAACCCTTCACTGAGTTCAGAGACAGGGTCAGATTCTGCTTGCTACTTGAACAACTGGAATCTATATAGAGAAGGAGAGAATGAGGGGGAGAGAGAAATAGAAAGAGATGGCGGAGGGGAGAGAAAAGGAGTGGGGAGAGAGAGAGAGAAATGAGGGGGCAGAGAGCAGTGGAGGAGAGAGACAGAGAGGGGGGGGTGGAGAGAGAGGAAGAGGAGGGGGAGAGAGAGGAAGAGGAGGGAGAGGAAGAGGAGAGAGAGGAAGAGGAGAGAGAGGAAGAGGAGGGGGAGAGAGAGGAAGAGGAGGGGGAGAGAGAGGAGGAAGAGGAGTGGGGAGAGAGAGGAGGAAGAGGAGTGGGGAGAGAGGAAGAGGAGTGGGGAGAGAGGAAGAGGAGGGGGGAGAGAGGAAGAGGAGGGTGGAGAGAGGGGGTGAGAGGAGGGTGGAGAGAGAGGAAGAGGAGGGGGGAGAGAGGAGGGTGGAGAGAGAGGAAGAGGAGGGTGGAGAGAGAGAGAAGGAGGAGACAGAGAGAGGAAGAGGATAGGAGGAACAGAAGAGACAAAAGGAGGGGGGATAGAGAAGGAGGAGGAGAAAAAGGAAGAGGAGGTGGAGAGAGAAGGAGAAAGAGGAAGCGGAGGGAGGATAGAGAGACGGAACAGGAAAGAGAGTTAGAGAAGGGGGAAGAGAGAGAAGGAGGAGGAGAGACAGAAGGGGGAGGGACAGAGAAGAAGGGAAAGAGAGTTAGAGAAGGGGCGGCAAGAGGAAGAGAGAGTAAGAGAGGGCAAGAGAGAGAGCAAAGAAGGGAAAGCATGAGAGAGAGAGCATGCGAGGAATAGAAAAAGGGGAAGAGTGGAAGCGAGGGGGGTTGGACAAGATAGAGGGTGAGAAGTAGGGGGCAGATAGGTATGGGAAGTGAAAGAGAGAGAGAGAAGGGCAGAGACAGAGAGGAGTAGAGAGAAAAAGAGGAAAAAGAAGGGGGCATAGAAAAAGAAAAAAAAGAGAGAAAGAAAGAGCGGTAGAGGAACATAGAAGGAGAAAAAGAAAGAACTGTATTACATTTGCCGGTTTACAACATTCAGTTTTGCAGCGCAATAGACAAATGTAATATACGAAGCCTTCCTAACTGGACAATGACGGAGCAGCAGCACATTGATGACCCATCATTCTGTTCTCTTCTTCTGTCACAGAATTCACCATCAGCACATGTGTTGTAGCAAATAAGCAATGAATAAAGTCTGGTACCCACCTTTCTCTAAGGCCACGGTTTTAGTGCAATCTAGAAGGAGCTGACGTGGCTCCCACGATGGGACTGAGGTCTTCTTTCTTCGTCTTCTGAAGTGATGGGCCAGAAAAATAGCAGATATTGTGCCCAATGCAGTTGCTACAAGAATTTTTTTCAGCCCTGGATAAGATCTTAGCTGTGGTTCAGAGAAAGCAATGACTCTTAGATCATTCAATTGTCTTTGAAATTACAGCAAAAACAAAAGAAGAAACATTCTGATAAAGAGGACCTGTCACATAAACATCACAAAGTTAGAACAGGTGACATCATTAAGGCAGTTTGGAAGGCACTACACCATGCAGTGATGTAAATGGTCACTGGTGAGTTGAGACTTGTATATTTATAAATTCTTGCTCAACCCACGTAATGCATATACAGAGCCCTAATTATAAATTTAAACATACAGGATCACAAGTGCTCTGCTCTAGTATGAGGGGCGATGGCTATATCAATGGAAGGGAATGGAATTCAAGAAGACACCAGTCTTGGATGTGGGTTACTAAAGGTTCGAATGCAAGCTGATGTATTTCAAGCACTATGTCCTTGAACGCCTTGCAAATATGTAGTGCTGTAGCAAACGTACTTGTAACCTGCTTGTAGTATCAGTCTTACCTTTAGAAGGAGGTAGTTCTTTGAAATACATTGACCTGTTTTTGAACCTTTAACAAACAACCCACAGTTGTTGAAAGTGTCTTTTTGGGCTTCTTTTCCTTCCATGGCTAATCTGCTTACTGGGGGACATAAGTGATATTAGGTTTTCAGTTGGGTTCTCACCTCTGCCCACTTGCTACAGGTACCAAGACAGAGTCTCACTCTTCCTACTGATCATTCATTAACGGAAAAGGCCTAAGAACAACAGATATTGCTCTGTATGCAGTAGAGGATCCATGGTTAGAGGTGAGACAGCAACCCCTGTGCTGAGACTTGGCCATAGGGGCCATGAAAAATGTAAAACACCAGTGAACAATTCAACTGTAACAACTACAAACTGAAATATCAGCTTAATTTTTCATAATAACCCCACCACTTTTCCAATTATTATGGTGACCACAGAATGCCCTTCTCAGATGTTTCCTACTCAGTTTAGCAAGATGAGAATTGTCCTTTTATTGTCTTAACTTCCTCTACAACAAACAGACACACAAGGATCCATTTCCACTACTTGGAAGTCTCACGCTAGCTTTGATTGAAAAGTCTCTCGTGGAATCCAAAACCCTTGTCAGTAGCCTCCACCTTCTACCTCTGTGCTTCTGTTAGGCTGAGAATTCCAGGCTAGTTTAACTTGTTGCCTTGTAGAATTTTGCTATTCTGCAGGGTCATCTTAAAAAGTATCTATACCCAAAAACAAAAATGTAATCTAGTGGAGATTACAAAGCCTGCGATGTGGTGGCTGCATTCGTTCTCTTTTAGACAGATTTATACGGGGGCAAGTAAATGGCAGCTCACCAAATATTGGTGTTATGGTGGTTGATACTGCTTTTATATACAGTTTGCCAAACCTGCTCAAAATTCTGACCGGCACTCCCAACCCAATCCATGACAGCAGTTGCAGCAGGGTCGTTTCCAGCCCCTTTGTGATGTACAAATTCGGGGTGGGTAATTTGCCTCTCTGCAACTGATTGGGTTGGGAGGAGGGGTGTCAGAGTTTTGAGCAAGCTTGGGTGACCTCAGGCATCAGGGTGAACTGGGTTTGCAGCAAGTCCAGCCTCGTCACTATTATGTCTAGGACAACTTCACAGTCATAACACAGATGTCCCTCCAACTTTGGGGTGTCAGCTTCCCCTACATTTGTACATCCTTCCCATTCTATTAACACTAAATGCCTGCAGCATATTCCTTCTGCTTTTCCTCCTTTAGCGTGGATCTACGTGTCCTTTGACCAGCCATCTGTGGCTTCCGTCATTATGCAAACCTGTAGTAGACCTGTACGTTGAAATGGCCGGGAAACTCACCCACTTTTTCTCTGGCCAGAATCCAGAGCCCTCATCAACAGTCATGGACTATGTTTCCTTGGAGCCATTGCTACACCAGCCTCCCCAACCAGGGCGGCAAGTACATGTAGTCTCAGATCACACCGTGGGTTCTCTGGGGCTGTTTGTCATAATACGCACAGCCATATCTGCTCATGGATGAATGAATCTTTGTTACTGATAGCTAATCAGCAGAGTCGCAGAGAGATATAAGAACTAGCCATACGGTTTGACTCTCCATCATCTTCCAAAAACAGACATATTAGTTTGGGTGTACTGACACTTTAAAATAAAATGTTACCATCATCAAAGTGAGCAAAGGAACACATTGTGATGTTGGGGCCCCTCAAAAGTCCTATGCAAACACAGGCTTTGTAGAAGTCAATATTTGAATAAGGCCTGACACACCTCTACTTTTGTCAATAGCTCACTTAGACACTAAACTCTGCATTGTAGAAAGTCCAGAGGTGAGGCATGCATGTCCATCCACAATCTATGGAGGTGGGCAACTTATGTACAGTGCCTTACTTCTCTACTAAGAAGATAGTCCATAATTCCTTTACAGGTAAAGAGCGGAGAGCCAAAGTAAACAAAAACGTTGTCCACTGCAAACAAATTACAGAAAGGGCTGCAAATGAAAGAAACAAGATAAGGACACAAATTCATTTTCTGTACAATGTACCTGTATGATAGAATTGTAACAAGTTAGAGGAAAATCGATAAGGCTCTGACCCGCCATTTTTAATGGGTGCGGCGTCTCTGAAACGGTGTCTTCTAACGAGGCCATTCATCTCCTGTGCTCTCTTTACGGCAACCTGTAGAAGAAAATAATAGGAAAAGACAGGGATACATGGGTAGCTGTCAGAAAGTGACATCACTGGAGAAGCAAACTTTATTGGCAGAGCAACAAGATGAAATGCAATAAACCAGAACTCTTCTTTTTTTCTTTTAGAAGAAGACTTTGGTAAAATTGCTGAATTAAACCAGCGAAAGGATCTATCCACTTGAGAGGTAATATTACAGCTACAGGGGGGGGGTCGGTTGACTTTTAATATCCCCTAGGGAGTCCAGTGGGGATTCCGCCAAAGCTGCAAAGTGTTCCAATACCTTATGTAAACCATGGGAAAAATGACCTGATTGTAGACATATGGTTACATATCATGACAAAATGTGACATGCAGTATTTTTTCTGTCGTAAGCTGAACGGACTGCGCACGTGAGAACTGGAGCCCATAAAACACATAGGGATACATTGGGATGCATTTTGAGTGCAGCAGCGTACGGAGCCGGTCAGCACACAAAACGGACGTCGTGTGAACAGGCCCTGAATGTGAACTCCTAATTCCTCCCTTTTTATCTGTTAAACATACCATTAAAAATGAGCTATCATATCTGTTTGATAAGTTCAACAAATAGCCAATTATCTTGACAGAAATCTTGTGTAATCTTCCTGTAATAACTGCCTGTGCTGACTGACATCAGTGTCACTGAGACTACAGATCCACAGCCCTCTCCTATTAATAATAGGAGAGGGATGGGGATCTATAGTGTTTTTTTGTTATGATTTCCTGAAACAGTATAATGAGTGAATAATTGATAGCCTAGGACTGGAAGTGTGTTACTGGCAGAATAACTATGTAAAAAGGGAAAAAAGTGTGCATTGCTGCATCGTGCCACAGTGGAATAGTGTGATCCCACCTTTAGGCATTCCGTCGAGGTGCGTTCATTATGAATGGGCTGCCAATGCATCACAATGGATGAATGAACTTGCATAGCCCTTTTTTTTTAAAAACAATACAATGCATACGCCGCACATTGTGGTGTGCTGCAGTGCATTGTGTGTTGGACTCTACTTTACAATGTGACTCTACTGTACATTCATAATAAGGGCTCGTTCACACCAGCTGCATTGGGCATGTCCCAATGCAGTCCAAAGACAAGGCAAAAAGTGTAGTGATACAATGATGGAACACCGCGCATTACAACGCACACCAGCACCGCATGTTATCGGCTGTGTTGTATTTGGCTTTATTAGTGGTCCACATCTGTTCAAGTTTGACATGTGAAGGAGGGGAGACACAGGACCAACATTTTTAACTTACTGTCTCATTTGGCTGTTAGAGTCATAGCATCCAATATTTTTATCAGAGCAGCAACCAAAAGTTTAGATATAAATAGTACTTGGAGGAGTTGTCCTTCTCGACTGGATTTAGACTTTTGTATGTGTGTTAATGCACGTTATCACAACATGCTATACATTTTATATGCGTTTTGTGGAGTGCTGCCATTCAGTCTTAAGGTGGCCATACACTTTACAACCCTCGCAAGACTTTTGTCTTGCGAGGGTTGTAAAGTAATTGAAAAAAGGTACGATCTGCCCATCTTGGACAGGCAGATCGTACTTGCGATCATCGCAAGCCCGCCCCGCTGAGGGGCGGGCTTCCGTTGACCGCAATGCTGAACGGGCAGTGTGCGGCACCGGCCCGAGCGGCAGTGATCTCATGATCATGATTCAAACCAGCCGAAAATCGTACGATTCTCGGCTGGTTTTCGAACAAGCTCGAAATACAAAAGTCGTGCGAAGCCCGCCCCGCTGAGGGTGCTTCAATTCCATACACTGCACGATTATCGTACGATCGCGGGATTTTCTGCGATTATCGTACGATAATCGTGCAGTGTATGGGCACCTTCAATAGCACCCCAACACATGTACTGGCCCTTTAGCACCCCAGAAAGCCTAGACGTGAATGTGCAGTGCCCCACGGATAAGCATTGCTTTCCAATCACACCTAATGGTTAATATGTTTCAACACTCCCATAGAGGACAACAGAGGAATAGTGCCACCTTCAGGCTCACACAAAGATTCCACCACCTAACGCTTATTTGGCTTGATTATGGAATGATACTCTGATTGTACAATTTGAAATAATAAAAGGACACCTGTCATAAGAGAAATGCATGGGCAGCCACTGCCAACATTTCTAATTGCCTGCTTGTTAACCTGACATCCAGGCTTGAATACTTTTTGAGCACTGACCTGGAACAAGTATTCAGGTCTAGCTAGTACAGTAGTAATTAGTCATATTCAACTGGACTTGTTCTGTAATGTTACACGAGCAGAGGCACAGAATAACAAATACCCTTTGTAGACTGTGCGCTATATTTAAAGATGGGGGTGACTTAGACATTGAGGTCTACTGGGAAGCTACCCACACAGACCAGTATCTGCTCTTGGACTCCCACCTCCCACTGGGACATAAACTGGGGGTTATTAGATTGTTTGGAACACCGGGCTGGGATGGTACCAACAAACACAGAGTCTAAAAAGGCAGAGAACACAGACATCTGATGAGTGCTTGGAAAGTATGTGGCTACCCGGACTGGGCTTTTGTTAAAACATCTACAAGGCCAAGCAAAAACTCGGGACCATCGAACAGAGGAGAGAAGCAGAATGCACGGAGTATTATAGTCATCCTGTAAGTAGCTAGAGTGTTGGAAAAACTCAGAAACATTGCCAGGGGTGTCCCGAGGTCGAGTGTCACCCGGAGCGGAAACCGGGTGACAACCCGCCGTGACGTCATTGCGCGATCATCTAATTGACGCCTACCGGCGCCCATCTTAGTGATGGACGCAGGCAGAGACCCTGTCTCTCTCCTGACCCTGTCGGGCTCTCACTCCATGACCGAATGCCCGACTTTTTAGAGGGGGTGACACCAAAATGACTACCAGTCATTTTGGTGTCACCCCTCCAATGGTGTTACCCAGGTGCGGGCCGCACCCCCTTTGTGACGCCACTGAACATTGCATATCTGTGTCCATCAATACACTGAAAGAGAAGGTTGAACATCCAAAAGACCCAAAACCCAATCAGAAACAACTGGTATATGCAGTGAATTATAGTGAAGAATGCAAATATCTGTACATTGGGGGGACAAAACAAGCTCTCAACAAGCAGATAGCCCAATATAGAAGGGCAAATTCTACAGGCCAGGATTTAGCAGTTTTCCTATACCTTCAGGAAAAGGGACATTCTTTTGAGGAAAGTGAGGTGCACATTTTGGACAGAGAGGACAACTGACTCGCAAGAGGCATGAAAGAGGTCATCTACATAAAACTGGAAAAAACATCCCTGAACACAGGTGCAGGCCTTCAACCATCTGCCACCCACATATAATGGCCCTCTTGACATCCCTACCCTGACAACAATTCACACCTTCATCCATGTGAATCAAATTATTACCACCTACAGTATGTTACACCAAGGATGGCATTATATAGTTAGAACAAGTGGTTCCACAACCTTCACACCTTCCACCCTGTTCTTGGACAATCAACATCTACATATTCCACGGCGGTTGGATTAGGGTGCATGTGTTACCCGTGTGGGGATAAATGCTAAAGTATCTTCCTGGCACTCGTTAGAACTGAAGAAGTGGCAAGGATAAGCTACGAAACATCTTCAGCATTACAGAACAGGTCCAGTTGAATGTGACCAACTACTGCTCATGAGCTGGATAAATGAGAACCTTCAGACACAAGTATTCATACTTGTTCTGGGACACAGACTGAACGTATTGAAGGAATAGGGTCAGCATGAAAGACAAGCAACCAGCATTTTCTTAGCCTAGGTTCACACCTGCACTACACCGCACAACACCGGGACGTGCGCCCCGGGTGTCGTGCGGTCCTGCACAATGAAGGCAGCAATTGCCGCGCGGCCCCACTGATTTCAATGGGGTGACATCCGAGCGGCAATCCGGGGCGACTAGGGTGCCATGAGAAAATAATGGCACCCACAGCGCGATCGGTTCACACTTTGTCGACTCCTGACCGTGCCGGCAATCTGCGCGGAATTGTGCACAATTGCCGCTCGGTGAGGTGTCGCCTAAGTGTGAACCTAGCCTAAGAGATGGGACATTTTCAAGTGTATGTCAAGCCAAAATAATTTTGGATGATAGTTTAGGATACAGTGGGGGGAAGATCTCAACCACTTTTAGGTTTGTGCTGCTATCTTTGGTTCCATTAGAGAGATTTACCCTAACAAAGAAGTGTACAGGAATGCAAAATCCGTTTGAGGCTAGGTTCGCACCGGGGCAATCCGCGATCGCACAGGAAATCGTGCAGGAAACCGGGCGGTCACGGAGTCGCCCACCAGAGACGATTGCACTGGCAGTGCCATTATTTTCTAAAAAAAGCGGTGCAGTGTGTGTAGCAAAGAAAAGGTACTTGTAACTTTTTTTTTGCGATTGACGCGCAGCTGTAACCCCATTGAAATCAATGGGGCTGCACGGCAACCGCTGTGTGCACCTACACACAAACTCGCGTTCCGGGTTTGCTCAGATCTGAACCTAGCCTGAAGCAGGTCAAAAGCAGGTAAGAAGGAGGTCAACTGCAAGTCAAATGCACCTATTCACGAATAACGAACGAACTTAGAAGCATTTCAAACTAATACCGTCCACACAAGACTGAAGCCACGTGACATGACACGGGCAGCAATAAAAAGCGGACATCAGTTCAACCTCTCCCTACTCTACTAATGAAAACATTTATACACAAGTGACAAGGAAGTATGGAGCCGGCTTCCCGGCCAATCAGGAAGCGTGTAATGACTCTCTGCCCGGCTTCCTGATACCGGAAGTATCAGGCCAGGCATCAGAGCATTTGGGCGAGTACAAGTACTCGCCCAAATACTCGGCATCGGCACCGATACTAGTATTGGTGCAGCCCTATGTATTATATTTTGTCTGTGTGCACTAAAATTAATTTGAATGCATTTTTTACGGAAC